ATTCCAAACTACACTTTCAAGCTATCGTAATCAGAACAGTATAGTACTGGCACGAAAAGAGACAGAACAGAGTAGAGAACCCAGAAATAAACCCATGTGTATATGGTCAATTAATCTATGACAAAGGAGCCAAAAATACACAATGGGGAAAGACAGTTGCTTCCATAAATGGTCTTTAGAATACTGGACAGCTACATGCAAAAGAATGAATATGGACCACTTCCTTATACCATATACAAAAATACACTTAAATAGATTCAAGACCTAAATGTAAGACCTGAAGCCATAAAACTTCTAAAAGAAAACACAGGCAATAATCTCTTTGACATCAGTCTTAGCAATATTTTTTTGGATCTGTCTCCTCAGACAAGGGCAACAAAAACAAATATAAAAAATTGACACTACAGCACATTAAAAAGCTTTTGCCCAGAGAAGTAAACCATCAACAAAATGAAAAGACAACCTCCTAAACGGGAGAAGGTGTTTTTAAGTGATATGTCAGACAAGGGGTTAATATCCAAAATATATAGAGAACTCAAACAACCCAAGACCCATACACACAGAACAAAAATCTCATTTAAAAAATGGGCATGGGGGGACACCTGGGTGGCTCAGTTGGTTGGACGACTGCCTTCGGCTCAGGTCATGATCCCGGAGTCCCGGGATCGAGTCCCGCATCGGGCTCCCAGCTCCATGGGGAGTCCACTTCTCCCTCTGACCTTCTCCTCGCTCATGCTCTCTCTCAAATAAATAAATAAAATCTTAAAAAAAAAAAAATGGGCATGGGCACAGAACCTGAACAAACATTTTTCCAAAGAAGACATATAGATGGCCACGAGATGCATGAAAAAAATGTTCAACATTGCTGATCACAGGGAAATGCAAAGAAAAACCACATTGGGAGGTTCCTCCCACCTGTCAGAATGGATAATATCAAAAAGACAAGAAATAATTGTTGCCAAGGATACAGAGAAAAGGAGTCCTTCATATACTGTTGGTGGGCATGTATATGGGTGGAAATACTATTAAAAATAGTATGGGGATTCCTCAAAAGTTTAAAAACAGAAATACCATATGATACAGCAATTCCTCAACGGGCTATTCACCTAAATAAGACAAAACACTAATTCAGAGAGCTATTGTATGCACCACCATGTTCACTGCACCACCTTTACAATGAATGTAACATGGAAGTACTAAGTATCCACTGACGGATGAATGAATAAAGAAGTTATGGAATACAGGTGCATGGAGTATTACTCAGCCAGTAAAAAAGAATGGACTCTTGCCACTTATCACAACACAGATGGACTGAGAAGGTGTTATGCTAAGTGAAGTAAGTCAGACATAGAAAGACAAACACCTTATCGTTTCATTTATACGTGGACTCTAAAAAACCAAACAAATAACAAACAAAACAGAAACAGACTCATAAATGCAAAGAACAAACTGATGGTTACCAGAAGGGAGATATTTGGGGGATGCATGAAATAAGTGAGGGGGATTAAGAGGTACAATCTTCCAGTTATAAAGTAAGTAAGTCACAGGGATATGAAGTACAACATAAAGAATACAATCAATAATATAGTAATAATTATGTATGGTGAGAGATGGTGATCATTTTGTACTGTATGTAAATGTCAAACCACTCTGTTGGTATACCTCCAACTCAATATAATATTGTATGTCAACTATACAGTAAATTAATTAACTAATGTTTACAGAGATTTTAGTAACATGGAAGAATGCTTTATAAATAAAAAATTATGTAAGATTATATATATATATATATATATATATATATATATATATATGCCTGTATTCAATTATAAAATACAACTATGTAAAACAAAGCAAAAATATGCAAAAAATGTAAACGGGCAATCTCAGGATAGTAGTTTCATGGCAACTTTCTTTTTTTTTCTCCACTTCCCATATTTTCCAAAATTTCTAGAAGTATTTTTATCCTAAAAACCCATAAACCCACACTTTTAAATCAGAAAAAAGATACATATATGTGTCTTCAAATATGTATATATGAATGGTACCTAGACTTTCTCCACTTATGTCATGCAAAGAAATTTGACTGTCACTCTCAATACATTTCTGTAATTCTTTATTAACATTTAGGATATGCTTGCAGATTTCAGGGTAGCTAATCAGCTATAAATCATATTAGAAAAAGAAGAATCAGGGGGAAAAAAAAACACTAGACTGAGGTTCAAATCCTGGTCTTTCTCTTTAATTTTACGATCTTGGGGAAGTTATTAACATTCTTGGGTCTTAGATTCATCATCTGTAAGATGAAAAATGGACTATTTACCTCACACAGTTGTTGAAAGAATGAAATGTTGTACTGCATGTCATAATATCTGTACACTAGACACATAATCAAAATGCCTACTGAATTTGGATCGCTTCAGTATGAAAGACATGGTTACATTTCTGAATTCACAATTTAACAAGAAATAAAAACCTAAAGGGCAGAGGCAAAAGCAAAATTAAAAGGTTCAAAGATAAGACCTAAAAGAATCAGTAGTACTTAACTTAAAAAAAAAAAAAAACCACAGTTGTTTAAATTGGCCATTTTCTAAGACTGAAGAACAAGAGAAGAGTAGGTTAAATAAAGAGAACTTCAAGGGTACTTTAAAAATTAGAAATTAGCAAAAATACGCAATATATGAAAAAATATCAGCATGTAATGGTGATCGTATCTTATCTGAAGACTAAGTAAGCTATCTCTTAAATCTGTTCTAGACTGTGAATTCCACTGAGATGCAGGAAAAACTGGCAATTGGGTCTTTTTAGCAGTTCCTGCTAAGATTTCATATAAAGTTAGGAAGGTCACATCAGTAATTTGGGCCTCAATTTCCTCATTGGCAAAAAGAGAGGGCTTAATTATAAGTCTGTATATTATTAGTTATTAAAAAAATATATAGGATTCCAATTTAATATGATTTATGACCAACACATTTGGCAAGGAAATAGAAAATAAGCATTGGGGGTGCCTCAATGATCACTTACAGTACTGCAGAGAAGTGCAATGGCATTATTACATTGCAGTAAATTACTAGTTTGGTGTAATGAGTAGTATACTGAGTAGTCTTAAATTTTTTAAGCAGATTGACAAGATACTTACAACCAGGAAAGAGCCTAACTAGCTAGATCACTAATTCATGTAAGTATAATCAAGTGACAATTATACATTCTGACATATGGTTCCAAAATATCATGCTTACCTTTTGAAGGTCACCTAAAAAATAGCATAAGTGTTTGTAATATTAGGTTTTGCTTATGAGAATAAAACTATTTGCATTGTCAGGTCATATGGAAATTAATAGTGAGAAGAAAGATGCTAAAAGATGTTAGGTTATAGAGAGATTAATTAATTACATGTCAGTAATGACATGTCAATCATGTGCTCCAGATAAAGAAGATATGATTTATATTTATGTATGAGTAATGGTTCACCAAAACATATATGTTATTTTCACTTAAAAATTAAGTCACGATGGGGCACCTGTGGCTCAGTCGGTTAAGTGTCTGCCTTTGGTTCAGGTCATGATCCCAGGGTTCTGGGATCAAGCCCCACACTGGGCTCCCAGCAGAGCAGGAAGCTTGCTTCTCCCTCACCCCCTACTTATGCTCTTTCTCTCTCTGTGTAAAACAAAATTTTGAAAAAAAAAATTAAGTCATGAAAAGAAGCATTTAATGAAACATGACACGACACTTAGTGATTCAAAGCTGCCTACTTCCTCAAAGGAACCGAGATGATACACAATAAAACATATATTAACAATACAAAACTTTGGCCATCTTATTTATAAAATATATAATAAATATATAAATATATATATAATTATATATATAAATAAATAAAATATAAAATAAAATAAAATTTGTATACAAATTTATAAATTTCATATTTGGCCAAAGTTTCATATTTGTATACAATTTCCAATTTGTATACAAATTTATAAATTTTCAATTCCCAATCTCATATTCTGACACCAATAAATAAAAGCACTTAATTCTGAAAGGTTTTCTTTAAAATCACCAACACTAGGAGCTGAGGTATTTCCCATATGAGATAACCATTAAACTTTTCAAGATAATGTAATTTTTAACTTTGGGTACAAGAATAACATTTTTTGGGGGAAAAAAAACCATAAATGCCCCTATCTGACTCTTTCCCAAAGAGAACTAAAAACTTTGCACAAAAGAAAGCTTTTCTCAAAAACAGTTACTTTACAATCACTAATCAAAACTACACATAAGGCTTAATTAAAGTGAAGTAAGAAAAAGGAACTAAACTACTTACATGGCGGAGGAAAACAGATGACCTACTCCAAATCTCATTAAGAGAAGTCACGGTAATTATCCTCACAAAAGTTCTAACATTAAGAGTCAAGAAACAGCGCCCTCCTAAAATATGCACACATGTACACACACTACATCCACTACAGCGAAACTTCCTGCCTGGTAGGAAAGTGAGCATCTCAGGCAGAGACGTTTGCTCTTTTACTTTAAGAGGTGAGCAGTAGCTGATTCATTTAATCTTATCATCAATAGAAGATGTATTTCCTTTACTCTTCTAAGAAGAGTTTTCATTTAAGTTTGTAAATTAAGTATCTGTAGGACTGGTTCTATTAATTGTTTCGACTCTGAGCACATGCAGAATTGCCAATATGACTGGGAGAAAGAATAAAACGAAACATCTGTGTTGCCATAGTCACTGTTATTCGTCCACAAATGTCTAAAGCCTTAAAAGATTTCTAAAAATGCAGACAGAAGATATACAAGTTACAATACTAAACTGGGCATTCCATGTACTTTTGTATGAACGCATTTATCCCTTTTTTAAAGGATACTGTTTATTTTCTTAACAATGGTCAAGCATTGTCCAATTTCATTTCAATACCATATGAGTCTCTTTCTGTGAATTCTATGAGACACCATAAAAAATGCATTTAAAGGAATCTACACATCCACAGAATTACCTGACAAGCAATGTGCACGAGGTAGACCAGCTCTTTAGATTCACAGCCGTTTTTCGTTACTTCATTCTGTTCTTCTGAAAGTGAGAGCTATGTCCAAAACAGTGGGGGGGAGGGGAGAGAGGGAAAGTTATGATTAATGAATACGAATAAATGAGGCATTCAGTAACACTTAAACCCTCACATCGACTCACTGTGAGATATGCCTTTCAATGGAACTCTGCTGCTTCTGAAGATAAAACAAAGAATTCAGGATGTTTTCAAAAATATGTTTCTAAGTATTGGCTTCCTACTTTAAAGTAGCACAACTGCATAACAGCAGTAAATAAAATATGTCCATTCAAGAGAAGGTCTTCACTCCCTGAGTTTATTTAGCACATATGTGACAGGACGGCAGTGAGGGCACTGACAGGCAGCATGGGCAAGTGGCCAAAAGACAGCTCGGGCTTATGCCAGAGATTGGAAACTGGCTTCCCAGAGAACAGGCTGGGCCTGCAAACATGTGTTACTTTAGACTTCTCATGCGTATCTGAACATAAGATTTTATTTTATTTTTACCTGAACCAGCAGCAAGAATTTAGAAACGGAGTCATTTCATCTGAAAAACACAGATTTCTGGCTTCTACTAAAAAAAATCAGAAAATCTGAAATATTAGACCCATATTCTCATCTGAGCAATAACCGGCTGGAACTGAAAAGTGACCAAACCCTTTAAATGAGGCATGTATTCTCCAAACACTTTGACCCCAGTGTCTAGGCTGAATGGTAACTGTCCGTCATCATGCTGCTTGCTTCGTTATTTTTTCATGCACTACTCTCTTCTTGCATTTATATCAGACATCTGCCCCACCTAGGGATGTGAATTTGCCAACTCTGCTCTACAGACAGAGTTCAGGCTCTAGAACCCTGAGTTCACAATTGTCACTAACTAGCTGTACAATACTGACATACCTACTCAATCTCTCCTTGGGAAAATGAGAATGATTAACAGTACCTATTCTCAAGTTTGTGAGTATCAAATGAGATAATGCACTTGAAGTGTTCACCAAGACGCCTACTACTCATAAGTGCTTAATGTTACCATCATTATAGTTATTATATAAAAAAAAAAGATAAACATATTTTCTATTTTTGAGAGCAGTATGACAGAAGTATTTTTAAAAACATTCTGGTATTAAGTAGAAGCTCACAAGATAATGATCATTCTCGCACAAGCCAAAATAAGCCGGATTAACTACAAAATCATACTTTTAAAAAAAGAATTAGGGGTAAGAAAAAACCTAAATGAACTAAAAAGGGAAATGAACATTCATGAGACAGAAGAGACCCACGGACATGCTCAGAAGCCTGTTAAAGATGCAGAAGGAAAAAGAACCTGCATTAGACAGGGTAAGGAGAAACCAGCCAAATGCTCAAGACTGTGCGTGGACTGGAGTAATGAACAAAAATTCCATGGAAACCTTGTAGCAAAGAGTTAATGCCCACCAGACCCCAAGTTATAGGATCAGTACAACCTAGGCTGGGGGAAGAGCAGCAGGAGCCCAGAGGAGGAACCTATGATGTGTGTGGTGTCTCCCCAGCACACTGCAGCTAACCACTGCAGACAGGGAGCAAGGCAAGAAGGCTCAGAGAGTGCCTTCTCAGGCATTCAAGAGATTGAACAATTAAAGGCTGGAGCTGGCACAGAAAAGCCAGGAGAAACCCCTGGAGGCAACCAGGGCTTCCAAGAGGAGGCAACCAGGGCTTCCGAGAGTAAGCAGCAGCTCTACACCAAGGTTCACAGTAGGACAGACAGAAGCAAGCTAGCTCTGTGTTTGCACAGGAGATTGGGGAAAGGACTGGAGAACAAAGAGAAGTAGCAACCAGGCACAAAGAGACAAAGAAAGAGCACATGCTCTCCCTCAGTTCAGAAAACTGGTGGCTCAGCAGTAAAGAACAATGAGACCTCTGGATATCTCACCAATTTTCAATTCCCCTCAATGGAGGTAAAAAAAAAACAAAACACAACTCCTGAACATCCAAACCACAAGAAAGAGTTTTAAATTTTAAAATGGCCGTAAATACAGAAGGAATAAAGACTAGAAATAAAATCAACCTTCTTAAGAAGAACTAGGGCGAAGGAGAGAGTGAGGAAGAGAAGAAAAAACTTCCCCCAAAAGGCAAAAAGATAATTGGAGAGGACGTAACAGAAAGGGAGGATGTTCAGATGGTGTGGACAGTCAAATGGTGTCAATGAAATGGCTGGGTGGGCAACTCCAAACTCCATTCCCTTCAGAGAAAAACAAGCAGTAACTCTCACAACCAACTTTCTCAGTAATGTAGAATACAGTAGAAAGTTTACAATCAGCATGAGACAATGAATCAAGAAAAATGGTGACTTCTGACTTGCAGGAAAGCTCCGTGGTATTGTTACACACCCTTGCTTCTCCCCTTCCCATCTCAGCAACACTCTTGTCCACAGAAGCCCTAGCGCCCTCTGCTCCTTGCGTCCAGAAGGAGCAGAGACATCATTAATAAACTATTATATTTGTCTGTTCTGATCTGTCTGGCATTTACATGAAGGGTTGACAGAAGGAATACGTTTCTTTTTCACCTAAATTGGAATTCACCCTGGGGGATTTTAAAAAAACAGCATCATTAAAATATCGTAAAGTGAACTAAAAGTCTTCAGTCACCTGAAGCAAAAGATTATAGCTAAGACGTAATATAGATCGCTTAACGCCCAGGAGAAAGAGCTGAGAAGAGAGGTTCCTTGGGAAATGAGAGCATTCAAAAGTATGTGTGTATGGTGGGGCATTTAGAAAGCCATGAATATGTTCAGAGTAGGACACACGCACAAAAGACATAAAGATTTCCTAAGCTTTCAGCTCTACTCTCCAGGCTAAGACAGAGCTGTAAAGAGCCTGGTTAATTGTTGAATGAGTTTCTTAATACAAAGGAAATGTGCAAAGACGGGCTTATTATTTATTTTCTTTATTTTTTATTTTCAGTTCTGGGCATTCAAGGAATTCCCTCACAAAACACTATCTGAACACAAGTAAAAGAAGAGACATCAGTGAGCACACAGGACACAGAACACAATCTTTTCAAAAACAGCCTGGAAAAGTCGCTAAAAACACAGATTGCAGCCCTCACGATCAAAAACAGCATACCTGTGGTAAGAGATAGAATCTGATTTCCATAGTTACCACATTATAATATCCAAATGTCCAGTACGCAACAACAACAAAACTCACAAAATATACGAAGAAACAGGAACATATGGATCATTCACAAGAAAATAAATAAAAAACCAATACAAGCAATACAAGGACCTAACAGATCTCAAATGTACTACATAAAGCACACTCAAAGAACTCAAAGAACTAAGGGAAACCTGAAAAACACTGTATAAATGAAAATATCAATGAAGAAAAAGAAAATAAAAAAGAGCACAAAAAACAAATTTGAGGAATGACTAAAAATTCTAACTAAAAGGATCAACAGCAGATTTGGGCAAGAAGAAGAAAGAGCTTATTTAAAGATAGGGTAAGTCAGGTGAACCATGAGAGACTATGGACTCGGAAAAACAATCTGAAGGGTTTGAAGCGGCGAAGGGTGGGAGGTTGGGGGAACCAGGTGGTGGGTATTAGGGCACGGATTGCATGGAGCACTGGGTGTGGTGCAAAAACAAGGAATACTGTTATGCTGAAAAAAAAATAAAAATTAAAATAAAAAAAAAACTAAAGAGAGGAAGTAAACGAAAAAAAATACATTGCCATTTTATCAGTTAAAAAAAAAAAAAATACAGGTTTCCCCCACTATCCAAAGGTAGAGCATTCCTTTGAAACCTTTTAAAAGCCAAAACGGTATAAAGCGAAGAGTATCCTCTTTTCCAAAAGTCTGCATTACACCACCTTACTTTTATGAAAGACCTCTGTTAGTACCTGTTTTTGTTAAGAGAAAGAAATCCCAAAAGGATTTTCACTTTTATGAAAATAGTCATTACTGTACTAACATTAGTCCTTCATCAAAGCAAAGTAGTATAACACAAAGTTTCAGAAAGCAGGAGAAATCTGAATACTGTTCAAAGAACAGAAAGAGAAAGGAATTTTAAAAAGTGAAATGTTGCTCAGGAACCAGCAGGATACATTCAAAAAGACCAAAACATGCATTGTGAAAATCCCAGAAGGAAAGAGAGAAAGACAGAAAGAGATTATATGAATAGTGACGTCAAGACGACAGAAGAATCAGAGAACCCAGACTCTAGACCACCCCTCCCCACCAAAACAGACAATAGCCACTATCAACACATAAGAATATGGTTGTGAAAATCCTAGAACTTGGGAGGTGAGGCCAACACAAACACTTAAGACCAAAAAACAGAAAAGTCATATTAGACGGGAAAAAGGAGTAGTTTCGTAATGACCACCACCCCTTTCCTAGGCCAGCACAGCACCACACTGAAAAGAATTCCCTAGGGCTATGGTTTTTCTTTAGGAAAAAAAGAGCCCTAGAGAGATATCTAGCGTCCCCAGTGCTGAGGGGTGAACTTCAGGAGGCCCATTTCTGTCTTGCCTCACAGGGAACACTGAAGGAATTGACAGGGGTAGACCACATGGGATCACTTAGTAACAAAGAAAGAGGATGGGGCACAAAGAAACTAGTCAACGAATATTGGTGGTGGACAGGACCCTGCTGGCAACCTTGCCTGATAAGAAAGCCCCACCTGCACCTCCACCCATCTTCAGAGCTAAAATGGTAGCCAGGTAAGCCCAGGGGACACAGTCATCAGTTTTGCCTGGTTGGGGTCTCCAATCAAGAGATCAGCCAACTAGAGAGGGCAGTCAGTGATACTACCAGACTGCAGAGCCTGGCCTCCAGGAAGCAGCACTCAGATGCAAGACACGGCCAGTGACCCTGCCCACCCTAGGAAACCAGTGAATGAACACTCTTGACCAGCCACAGCCAGAATCCCTGACCAGGGAGAAAATCCCACCAGTTACCATGCCCAAATACAGCAAAAGATGTGCATACTCTCCATCATCACAGAGACCAGCCTGTGTCCCTGCCCAAAAGCACAGATAGCCTTTAGCCTCCCTCAATCATAG